TATAACCTTTTCACTTACATATGTTGATGCAAAAAGTACCAATTGCTGGGCATATGGTGGAAATAATGAATCATCAATTTCTTTACACACATCCATAGTATTATTATCCACATTATCTTGTTCTTCATCAGGAACATTAGTGTATATATGCACAATCTTATTGTGAACTTCAAGCTTAGGATCAATCACATCTCCAATTATTTTTACTATCATATCAAGATCACAAAATTTGATTGCACCTTCCATTTCTTGATTTATCACATTTACAGTTTTTGTGCTTGCATCTTGCAAAACAACTCGTGGTATACCTCCCCACATTCCAAACAATTTTTTAGCATTTTTATAATCAACTTTGGGATATAAAATTTTGGAAGTAACATTTAAGCTCTCCATTGAATCATCATAAACGTTTTTAGAAATGCATGCAGATATTTCATCCCAAGTCCATACTGGCATAAAACGTTTTCTTGTTCCAGCCCGCTTCTGAAAGTTTCGATAGTTATCTTTTTGTGGTGAAGTTGCAAGAATAGTTTTAGCTCCACAGTTCCTTGGATGGTGTCCGTCAACAAGATACCAAACATCTGATTTATTTAATTCATTATGAAACAGATCTAATGTTCCTTCATATATGTTTCCTTGATGAAAGAAAATTGGACTCTGATCGACTTGATCATACACTACACTAATCTCCTTTTTTATCAATTGAATAAGCAGGTAGTAAATAAAAAATGTCTTTCCAATTCCTGGAGTTCCTGTAATGCAAAAGTTTTCCAATTTGTCACTGTCAAAAATTATCTTGGAGAGATCAATATAACATTGACGAACAAAAATATTTGATCCTTGTTCTATATTACCCAACAAGTAAACACCTTCTGTTAGAGAAATTATTTTTTTGTCAATTTCAATATTCTTCACATCCTTCCAGAATTTAAAAAGTGGTGTATCTTCATCCAAATGTGTTCTCTTAAAAGAATATTCTTTAAGCATCATTAGCCAGATTAATCCCATGATAAGGGATGAAGGAAACAAATGGATAGGTGGAATGGAAGGAATGATATGATAGAAAGGTTGATGTGAAAGTTTAAACAAGAAAAAATTTAAAAATTCATGACAAACAGGTGGATAAGTAATATAAGAACAAGTCATTAAAGTTGTAACCAGTATACCAAACAAGTGAAAATAATTTTTTGTATATTTTTTTATGCAATTTGTTCATTACCTTCTTTTTCTCCAAATTTTCTTAGTGCTTCTCCCCATTCCTTTGCTTGGTCTTTCCAATCATTTATATTTTTTTCCAACACTTCTTTTTCCTTGTACAATCTGTTCATTTGTCCTTCCAATTCCACCTTCTTTGCTTCACTCAAGTTCCCCTTGAGCAACTTTATTTCCCACTCTTCCAACTTCTTCCCTTTGTATTTCCCCTCTTCCCACTCTTCCAATTTCCCCATTGCCTTCTTCAACATCTCTTTTGCATCATTTAGCTCTTGTATAATTCTTTCTTTTGTTGCCATTCTTAAAAGATTTAAAAATTTAAAAATTTATTATTTTTTAAAAAAAAAATTTTTTTTATTGATTTAGATCGTAATTGTTGCAATTAATTGTTTCTATGCATAATTAGACCAATGATAAATTAGTAGGCACATGACTTGGAATTAATAAATTTTTTATGGACAATTGGATAAAAGAAAATTATTTTTATTCAACTAATAACAGAAAAATACATAAATACAGTAATTATAAAAATATGTTAAAAAAATTGTCAGAGCACTTGCATGGGAGAAAATACTTGGACCCAAAGCCATTTGTAAGTATTACCTATTCTTTGAGTGTTCTGACAAAAATCTAACTTTCTATTACTACTGTTATTCTTTTTATTATTATCAATAATATTGTTATTACTAATATTCATATTTTCATTATTTTTATTATCTCCTTTATTTTCCCTCTCCGCCACTTTCTTCTTCTCTTTCTCAACCCACTTTGAATTGCTTCTATTGTTATCCTTTTAGGATTTGTTTTCTGTCAGTAAAAGTTTTTATTGTGGAAGCAACAACACCTTTTCCCTCTTCAAGTAATTCATGAATTTCAATGATCATTTTCACTGAATGAAAAAATTTGGATTTAGTTCAATCTTTTTGTCAAATAATTGTTTGAAATCCTTCCATAGATTTTCTATTTCTTGTGAATATTTTTTATCACTAGTAAGATTGTTTATTTTATTTTTGAATTGGCTTTTTCTTGGTTCAATTTTACCAATTATTTGATTGATCTTTTGATTTATAATACAGAACTGATTTTGATAAGTTTTATAATGAAGTAAAAACCAAGAAAGAGTCCAATTAATGATCCACAAACAAGTTTACAGTTGAAAGTAAGTATTTTTTAAATAATATTTATTGATTATTTGTTGAACCAAAAAATAAATTTGTGTTTAATGATGGTTACTAGGAGTTGTTATTTGAATTTTTTTTTACCTAAAAATAAGTGAACCAGTGATGCTTTTATAACATTCCAATACAAGGCAGGACTATTTATCTCATTTCAATGTCAATGAGAAAAAAACAAAGATTTATGTTCTTGAATGTAAAGTTCATTCAAACTTTTTTTTATTGATAAGCAATGCAACATGATGATCATTGATTACATTTGTGTAAAGATGTTTCTTTGTATGGTTGGCTCGGTCTAAAGACCTCCTATTGCTGTGCCGCATGCTCAAATTTCAAAAATTGCAATTTCATGATTTGTTCAAAAATGCAATAAAAAAAGGATTTCACATGATTTTGGTTAAAAAATTATTTTCCTTACTGCCAAATTTAGATATATATATATATATATTTACAGATCTTCCAATTCCAAACTGTCACCCCCTTCAAAAATTAAAAATGTCTTATGTTTCATAGTAAAAAGAAAACTTTACATAAAACTTTACACACAAGAGTTTTTGAACAGCCAATGCAAAAAAATCAAGTTATTATTGTTGAAAGCTTTACACTTCTCAAATTTTCTCTTGATCAGACTCATAATGACATTGTTAATTATTAATTACCAAGAAAGCATACAAGATTATATATAATGACAATTATATTCATTTTACTTCTGTTTGCAAACAAGTGATAACAAAATTAAAACAATTATAATAAGCATAATAAAATTAAAATTAACTATAATTGATTATTTACACACATATATATATAGTGATTAATAATAAATATATTAAAGGGATTGTTTGTTTTGAAGAACATATAACATGATTATTTATTGATTAATTTCTTTAAAACAGCTGAGACCATGGAACACATTGAATTATTAACAACAGTACTACCTGATTGGTGCAAGATTACAATAAAAAATGATGATAAAGTTGTCTGGTTAAATTAATCAATGAAAGATGATGTTAATTATATCATACAAAAAGAATCGAAAAGAATTAAAATGCATACTTGGAAACTTCTCCCAAATTTTTCTTTATTAAATCGTTTTTACTTTTAACAAATAAGCATAGTGGACATTTGCATATTTGGTAATGATTTGCGTTGTTATTATGAAGCGCTAAAATTTGTTGATTTAAATTTATAATTATTTGCCTCGAACCTTTTTCCTTATTTTCCCATTTTTTGTGTTTTGCCTTTTGCTTGATATGTTTACCTTTTCTCTTTGCATGCTTTCTACGCCAGTCTTGTAAATCGGCTTGGCAATTTTGCAATTGACCCGTCTGGAAATTGTATGCCTGATTAATAAGATCAAAATTATTATTGGTATTAGCCAACTGACCTTGTAATTGAGTTAACTGATTGGTTAAATTACCGATTTGTTGATAATAGACCTGTGATTGGGTGTTTTCCCACTCAGCTATATCTCGAAGCCTAGTCACAGCATTTTTAATATCGGTAAATTCGTTTTCTATAGTAGATCGTGGGATAGCAGGTGTTCTCCGTAATATAACATCAATATTCCTGAATGCATTTCGAACAGATTCAGCTGTGGTCTGGTATTCATTGGGTCCTGGCGCTTGAATTGTTTGAGCCATTACAGGTTTATTATACTTCCGAGATGTAATTTTTCGGATTCTATTTTTTAACTGGATCACTTCGTCTTCGAGTATAGATAACCGTCGCTCTAGATCAAGAATGTAATTTTCCTTTTCATTCGCATCCTTTAGAGTAGACCGAAGACGTTTTTGCAAATCAGATACTTGGGATTTGAGTTCCTGTACTTCCTTTTCGTTAGTAATGATTGTGGTATCCTGAAATAAAATGGTTCTACTGCATTGTTCTAGGACGCGGATTTTTTTCTCGTTTGTTTGATTTATGTCTACTTCTTTACCCAACTCTTTACGCAACTCTCGATTAGTACCTAGCAGTTGTAAGTACACAGGATCGGTTTGAAAATTCATGTCAAAAATTCGTGTCCTTAGTTTATAGTATCTATTATAATATTTTATGATAATGGCAATGAATGTACCTACTATTATAATAAGTGCTGACGAGGAGTTAAAAATCGTTATTCGTCTAATTTACTATCATGTACCTGGATTTTATTTGAATGCCAAAAAATTGTTAGACGCATGCAAAAAAGAAGGTTATAGATTTTGCCCTATTGATATTGAATCCTGGCTTAATCATCAGTTCATCCATCAAATATATCTCTTTCCGCAAAAATGCAAAGCCGGGGCAGGGTTTCAGAAGATAACTATTCCTAACAAAGTACATCAGTGCGATCTATTGGCCCATGGTTATGACGATCAGGATGGTGAAAAAATATATCTTTATACTTTAGTGGTTATAGATATTGCGGGACGCTATAAAAATGGACGTTCATTAACATCAAAAAATAGTCTAGAAGTTTGGAATGCTATAAAAGAAATATATGAAGATTCTACGTGCCCCCTTACATGGCCAAAATTATTAATGCTAGATGGCGGTAAAGAGTTCTCTGGACATTTTTCGCGGGGAATGCAACGATATAATGTTTATATCTGGGTTGTTGATCTTTATAGTTTTGAAAGCCTAGCATTGGTTAAAGCATTAAAGCGAAGATTGGCGGAAAAAATATACAAGATCCAATATGCAATAAAATCTAAATTAACAGCAGGAGAGCGCTCAACTTTATGGAATAAAATTCTCGAAGTAATTTTTGATGATATGAACAACAGTCCTACACGGTTGATTGGTATGAGTCCAGCCCATGCTATGACATTGCAAGAAGTAATATCTAAACCCTCCATAAAACCTAAGAGACCAATTGGAGAAGATGAAGAACAAATACTGAAAGGGACTACGGTTCGATACTTATTAAAACCCGGTGAGCTAGAAGGTGATCATAGGCGTCGCGCAACCGATCCATACTGGAGCCTACGTGTTTATAAAATCAAAAAAGTTGTTGTCGGAAAGAATCCGTCACAGCCTGTATTATATTATCTTGAAAAGGATCCAGTTGAATCCACAGAACATTTAATGGGTAGAAATCCACGTCGGCCGTTTAAGATAGAAGAATTGCAAATCGTAGATATGGAAAATCTTGAATATCCGCCAGACGAATTCATCCAGAAATATCATTATCAAACCGATAACCATGTTACTTCAAAACCAAAACATTTTCAAAATGCACCATTGTCAATTGGAACAGTACTAGAGATAACCGGTCTCGATTAGAGCTTCTCGTATAAAAGAATCAATATCCGCGAAATATGGTATTGAGATGAGACATATACCCTCTCTTTTGCATATATCCCGCTTTTTTTGATCGCGCTTCCTTTGTTCATCAAGATCTGCCCATCCTCGCTTATGGAATAACGGATTTATCTCAAAATGTTGTACGCCTTGGAATTCAAAAGCCAAACTTAGTTCTTCATTATAGCCATCTAGATGTAGCCCTTTTAAGAATTTAGGCCGACGAGATGGAAATTTTTTTCCCAATAGATCCTCAAAAATATATCGACAAGTTCTTTCTGGAGTATGCGGACATAGAGGGCACCAATCGTATTTCTTCTTAATGACTTCAAGTGGTCTCTCCCATAAGTGGTTTCTATGACACGAAAATAAGAAAGTTGCAAGACCGGTTTGAATGAGAGCTTTTCCTCCACGCTTTTCTGCGTAAATTTGAGCTTCAGTAAGGATCGTCATGTTTATACTTATGTATATATTATATAGTATTAAGAAAAAATAGCACGTGCGCGTTATAATTTATAACGCTGATCTCTCTTGGCAAGAAAAAATATTAATATATTCAGAATTGTGTCTAATATTTTATCCCGGAAATTATATCAGAATGAAGTACTATTATATATATCATATCGATGAAGTTAAACCGTCGAAGAAATCTTTAGACGATGAAGACGCTCCAAAGTGGCCTTTCTATATTGTAATGTCTGGAAGATCAAACACCGGTAAATCCAATATGGTGGTATATCTTTTTCTTGGGGATAAATATTATGATATGAAAATAAAATAAAAACGAATTGGTGAACGTCACATACGATGTAATGATATTGTATTAGTAGGTCACCATACCAATGAACCCAAATACCGATTACTTTGAAATTTCTATAAGAAAATAGCAGATCCTTCCAAACCGTATTATGAAGATGTTACTTTTACTACATTTACACCTGATAAAATTCCAGATCTAAAGCAGTTTAAAAATCCCAAAAGATGTACAGTATTTATTTTTGAGGATGTGTGTACTGAATCTCCAGCGATTCAAAATCGTATCATTCCATTTTTTAATAGAGGACGTCATAACAATATCTCTGCTATTTCTATTTCGCATAAATTCACTCAAGTTCCAAAAATCATTCGTGAAAATGCAAACGCATCTTGTATTGTTTAATGGCGGAGGATCCACAGAAGATATTGCACGAATTATTTACGGAATGACGAATTCATTGTCTTCGTTACCACTGTGCCGATTTCTGATCCTATGTCCATTAGACTCGGTTGGATGAACCCTCTAGACTTGGAAAAAGAAATCAAATCATTAACAGCGTAATAAAAAAATACCATTAGCTCAAAAACGGCAAAAAATAAAATTGTTATACTATATATATTATATTCTATCAATGCGAAGACCGTACTTATCAATAATATAATTATCATCTACATTTCAGCAACGTATCCCAACTTCCCCAGACAATTTTATAACCTCGTTCTATGAACAGCTTGTCAACATGATTTCTCAATCTCTGTCGTAATTGATGTTTCTTGAAACTTATCCAATCATCCGGAATAGAATATTCTTCATATTCTAGTCTATAATAGAGGAAGAACATATTAAAGTTTTTTTCTTTTTCATACTCTGCAAGAATATTATTACGCCATAGATTAAATTGATCTCGAGTTTGAAGGTTTTTCACTTTGCGAGTAGTTATACCTAAGTATTTATTTTTGTCGGGAATAATATCTGCTTTTACGGAATTCCAGACTTTAGCGGCCAATGATTCAGGTCTCTTCTTAAAATTTCTCCAAGCCCTTTGTATGATCCTTGCACATCCAAAATCAGTTTTAGGTTTAGCGCATTCGTGATCCCAATGATCTAACATCAGATCTTTAGCTTCTATAATTTCTATATATCGTCGACGATTGAATATTTTTTTAGGTTTAATGTTAACATTAACACGAAATATTTTCCAACATCCAAAACAGATCGCAGTTCCATTCTTAAATGGTTTTGGTCTATAGTAATTTTTGTAATTATTATAATCTTCAAGTCTACCTCCAGGATAAGAAGCGAATAAGCAATATCTATGATACATACCAAGTTTATTCCCGCTTAATAAGTCTTGAAGATTAAAATTTTCACCTCGTTTTACGATAGACAAACTATCGTATAATTTTTCAATCTCAAAGATATTTTTAAGTCATTCACTATTATAATAATCATATTTATTAATAATCGCCATAACATATTTCATGTCATATCCAGGACGATTATTAAAGGGTTTAGGTAATTGTCTTTCTTTGTCGCCGTGAATAATAATTGTAATATCAAAACTAGACATATTTAGTGATTATAATGAGTTTCATAATTTATATGTGATTTTATTAACCTATAAGTTAAGAAAAATTCGATTCATTTTTTGTGTAAATTCTAGTTGAATCATTTTTAATAAAACGAGAAGATAATTATAGTTATTATTGATATATGGGAACAAATCAAAATATATATATATATACATTAATACGCATGATTTTTAACAAGAATCTAAATCATATGTAGTTAATCCAATTTTGATATACCTGCATATGATCGATCGCATAAATATATCAACTGACCTCTTACATGTTCTATGAACTTCTAATAATAACCAAATTAGCTAAATCGCACATGAAAACACAAACGTAAACATATTAATATTAATATTCGATATATGAAAAAATAGCGATTTTTTGTCCAGAACATATAATAATAATAATAACTAGAAAAGCAACATCAACAAATAACAGCAAGTTATTAAAAGCTTGAGAGAATGTAAAACAGTTTAATTAATGATAATCATATTTAGCACGATAATTTCTTTGTATATAATAATATATATATTTCATATTAAATATCTTTTTTTTATTTAAAGATTTTTAAGTCATCGATAATAATAATAACTAAAAATTCGCATATTAAAAAAATCTCGTGTATATACATTATATATTTAAAAAAAATTATATAAAAATTTGATAAACATAATATAACTAATAAAAATATAACAATATATATTAATTTTTTTAAATCATTATATTAATAAATTGAATTATATCTACACAAATATTGTCTTGATCAGTTAAGATAATTTGCATAGATTTTTTAACTCTTTTTTTTATATCAATAGTGTATTTAGATTTACACGGAATCACTAAAATACCAATAGTATTTTTAGGAGATCTAGATAATACCGCTTCTAAATCACGTAATATAGCGACACCTTCAAAAAAAAAATTTTTTAATTCAAATATTTTGAAAAAAATATAATTATATATAATTGAATTAAAAATAACCATACCAACACTTCCTCTATAATTTTTACATTGTATAACAACAAAATGTTTTCTAAACAATCCTTCGATATCTACTCCATTATCACCAGAAGATATTTCTATCCTATATATATAAATAAAAGTAAAAAAAATGAGTAATCATGTCATCATTATCAAAATAAATGCTCCGAATATACGGTCTATCTTTTATTAATATATCCTATTCACCACAGTCTGTTCGAAAGAAGTGCGACTTTTCGGCAACGAAGAAGGACGTTCACAACAGATCGTCCACCGTACGTTAGGTCTGGTTACCCAACTGGTAACTTTCATAAGTTGTGGCCACGAAGCGCTTCCAGTTCTTCGATTTACACCTA